CTCGTTTTGCGTAAATCGGACCAAAAATTAATATTAAAAAACTGAAGGTAGCCGGACTAACTACGACATTGGGACGTCAAACATCTCAGTCCCCCCCGTGACCATGGGCGCTGTAAAGCACCCGAAACGTCGGGATAATAATAAAAATAAAAATAAATTAAAGTAATTAAACGCGATAAAATCCGAAAATAATAGTTTTATTCAATGTGAAACTTTGGTTTCGCATTGTTCAACCAAAGCATAACATTATTCAAAAACAACAATTCTGAGGAAAAGATACCACGTAAAATTAATTCGAAACAGAGAACGCTGAAACCGGAGTGGAGAAAGAATCACGTCGATATAAAAGCTCTTCGTTAGGCTGCCTCCGTAATTTATTATATTGTACCTCTGCCAAGAAGAGGAAAGAATAGTGAGGAAGACACTTAAATATTGCGAAGAAATAGATAATTACAGTAGTATCGTCTTATTACAGCTTTTTAATGTTCTTAAGATCTAAAAGATAAGATATATAAAATATGAATGAATTATTGTTTTATATTGAAATTTATATTGAAGGCGTGGTAGCTCAGATGGTTTAGCACTCGCTGTAAATTTCACAGTACGCGAGCAAACCGGATTCGGTACCCATCGGCACCAATGAAATTGTTAATTGCAATTTTTTTCACTCGGCGGTGAAGGAAAACATTGTGAGGAAACCTGCATGTCTGAGAAATAAGAAAAAAAATCGAAGACATGTGAAGTTCGCCAACACGCATTGGGGCAGCGCGGTGGACACTTCCTTGCCCTAAAACCCTCTCGGAAATGAGGGGAGGCCTGTGCCTAGCAGTGGGACGTGTATAGGCTGTAACTTTAACTTTTTAACTTTTATTGAAAATATATCAATAAAAATAGGGAGTACCTGTTCTATTAAATTTTTAATTTTCTATTAAATATTTTTATTGAAGTTGTTTCAATATTCTATATGTCAGTTTTACTGCAGAAACATATTATATATTCTCTTATTCAATAACTTTTATTAAATATTAAAGAATATATAATTCCAGTTAATAATTTGTATATATAGTATGAAAAAAATATTGAAACATTTTTGTTATTTTACAATTCTTTAAAAATATGATACCGCTTACAAATTTCAAATAAACCTTTAATGGATTTACATTTGCTATTGAAAGACTTGGCATTAAAGCATCTCTATTACTTATATTTTTTAATGTTTAGATATTCAAATTAAATAAAACTTAATTGCTTTTTTATATTCTTTTTAGTTTAAGATATATTTCTAATTAATTATATTGTAGTCAATACGTTTTTTTACAAATAAAGTAAAATAAAAATAAAATTTGAATATCAACTCTTTCACATTGCCAGTGGTGAAATAAAATCCATCTACACGGTTAATCCCCTGGCTAGCGGATAACCCCTAACTTGCGTTACGTGGAAGAATTATCCGTTCTGAAACATTTAGATCGCTATCACAAATTGGAATAAGCGATGACGATGATGATAAGCAAAAAGTCACAGAATATATTCATTTAATCGTGTAAAAAAGGATATTTTGTAATAAACAAAAATATTGTCAAATCTTGTTTGAAATCTATTAAATTTTTAAAATATTTTTCCTCACATTTATTATCTATACTCCTACGGCTTATCCATATTAATACTAACTAAGAAGTATTGTTCAGAGTTGGATAAAGAGACGCCCTCAAAAGTTCAGCAAACGAAGTATGAGCTAACGAACCGTCATTTATTATTGCTCGTTCATGCACGTAGGCGCTCGGTACTTAAAAATGCAATGCAAGACATCTTTCAAAAATGTTTAGCTTTTATTTTGAGCTTGCGCCGGTGGGAGATAAGACCATGTACCTACTCATAGCTATCATAATTGCTGTAATTTTTTATTACGACTTTAATTTACAAAGATACTATACATATTTTAGTTCAGTTGCTGTATTGATCATTAATAAAGAAAAAAAGAATATTTAGTTTAAATAAATGACTAGACTTAGACTTTCGTAATCAATACATACAATAAAATCGTTAACAGCTTTTTTGTCTGTTTGTCTGTGTGTTTACAGTAATTTATTGAGATAAGTTTGCACTATAAGTGTTTGTTTCATTAAATCAAATACTAAAAAAAAAGGATATGTCGTTCGCAGTGACGCGGCCTCAAGTCTGGAAAAAGAGCGCTGCCTAGCTGTTCAAAAAGTGACATACAAGAAGTTCTACATGTAAAAATGTACTATCACGTCGAAGTTTGTGATTTTAAACGTGGTAAATTCATGATACAGCAGGATAACCACGCTATCACAGAATATCAGCATAACATAGCAGCTTTATTATTATTGTGGGGTATCTATATAGTTTTCTCATCTGGTTGGGTTCTATAAATATATAATTATAAATGAAAATGAAAAGATAAATATACATATATATCAATAACATAAAATAAATATAAAAATACATAAATAAATAAAAGCCCAACCAGATGGAGGCCCTCGGCAGGGGAGACCAAACGGCCGAGGGTTAGGGGGAAAGGGAAAGAAACCGGCGGACGATGCGGGCGGTATCGAGGAGCACCGCCTTCTGCATTTGAGCCCGGAGCGGTCCGCCACGTAGTCCCAGTCGCCTCAGATGACCCGAGAGGCTGACTGGGATTAGCCCGTTTGCAGAGACGACTACAGGAATAATTTCGGTCGGCAGACTACCCCACATGTCAGTCACCTCGTGAGCCAGCTCCAGATATTTTGTTTGCTTATCTGTTTCGGCTTTCACGTGGTTCTCGTCATACGGAATGGTAATGTCGACCAAAAATATCCTTGACTGTGCCCGGTCCATCAGCACAATATCAGGCTTATTCGCAAGAATAGTCCTGTCTGTGATGATGGCCCGGTCCCAATAGAGCCTGGCGCGATCATTTTCGAGCACGGCTTCCGGCAAGTACTTGTAATACGGCAATTTCCGATCCACGAGACCGTATTTCAGAGCGAGCTCCTGGTGAAGAATTCTGGCTACTAGGTTGTGCCTGTGCAAGTACTCAGAGTTAGAAAGTGCCGAACAACCGCAGATGACATGCCTAAGTGACTCACCGGGATGGCGACAAGCTCGACAGATGTCCACGGTGCCATCCTTTAGGATGTATCTCCGATAGTTGTTGGTCTTAATAACCTGATCCTGTATTGCACAGACAAAACCCTCGGTTTCCCCGAAGAGATCACCAAAGCGTAGCCAGTGGAGGGAGGCTACTGTGTCTACGAAAGGCTCATGTAGAGCCTTGTAGAACCTCCCGTGGAGCTCCTTCTCCTTCCATACGTTCTCCCGGTCGGAAATTGTCTGCACTGCCGGGTCTTGCCATTGCTCGTTGGCTAAGGATAGAGGGGTAAGTCCTTTATCACTAGAAATGACGTCCTTATAGAATGGATCATCCGATCTCGCCAGGAAGTAATTACGGAGGCTGCACACTTCGCGATTATGCATGGTGAGCGCGCTTAAGAAGCCACGCCCACCATGCTTTCGCGGCAAGTACAGCCTCATTACCGACGATCTCGGATGATGCATCCTGTGGGACGTCATGGTAGTACGGACTTTTCTATCCAGGGCGTTAAGTTCAGTCTGAGTCCACCTGAGTATGCCAAAGGTATACATGAGGACAGGCATGACCCAGCCGTTATATGCGTGTGTCTTAGTCACAACGGACAAAAGGCTGTTAAGCACTTTGGTCAAGCGTGCATAAAACACGTCGCAAACTGACTGTTTCATACCAGCCTCATCGATACCGATGTTCTGTGACATACCCAGGTATCGGTATGTTTCAGCCTCGGAAAGGGTCCTTAAGTTGACGGGCATAGATAAGTCTATGCCCTCAGAGTTAGCAACCCTCCCCCTTTCAACATGGAGGACCGCACACTTATCCGTTCCCAGCTCCATTCCAATAGAATTGCTAAATTCACAAGTGATGTTTAGCAATTCCATAAGATGGGAGCGACTGGAGGCGAATAACTTGAGGTCATCCATATAGAAAAGGTGGGTCACTTTTGTACCTCCTTTCCGAAGCTGAAATCCCCTCCCGGAGCCCTCCAGTGAAGTACTGAGAGGGTTCAGGGAGAGGCAAAACCAGATTAGACTCAGACAATCGCCCTGGAAGATTCCCCTTCTTATCCTTATGTGGTTCTCCGCAGCCATCATCCGCTCGCCCAGATAGCAAAGGATCGTACTCCATTGCCCCATACACTGCTCGAGGAAGTCTCCAACTGTACAGTCAATTTTGTACAGCTGGAGGACTCTCTTTAGCCATGTATGGGGCACCGAGTCGAATGCCTTTCTGTAGTCTATCCAGGCGGCGGAGAAATTCCGACGGTTGCGTTTCACCACTTTGCCAATGACCGCGTCAATGAGGAGTGGTTCCTTGGTTCCACGACCACCGCCCCGGCATCCATTTTGAGCGCGTGACATCACCTGATTTAGCTCCAGGTGACGAGTGATTCTCACGCTCAAAATGGATCTCAGTGTCTTATATATGGTGGGTAGACACGTGATGGGGCGGTATTTGCTCGGGTATATCCTGATCTTTAGGAACCAAATGAGTAATCCCAGTAGTGAAGAGGCTCGGGAGCGACTTCTGATCGAGAGCCTCTTGAAACTGTCGGGCGAGCACAGCGTGACACACTACGAACCCCTTCACCCAGTAATGATGCAGCCCGTCGAGCCCCGGACTTTTCCAGTTCGGGGCCCTACGGACCGCCTCAGCCACGTCTTCAGGCGTTATGGTGACGGGGTCCATAGGCGTAACACTTGCACTCTGGCTCGCCACAACTTCCATCCAAGGGCCCTCGCTGTGGTTTACGGGCTCTGACCACAGGCCACGCCAAAATGCGACAGTGTCAGCCTGATCCGGTCCTGGGCCCGCTCCACATACCTCTGGTCGCTCCAATGATTTATAGAGCCTCTTCTGATCACTCTGGAAGAGACGATTCTGGTTGAACCGCCTTGACCTCTCGCTAAATCGTCGAATCCGCTTCCCCCCAAGCAGCGATTTTTTGCTTCAGGTCATCTATGCGCTCCGTTAGTTTTTGCGTGATATCCGGCTGGAACAAACTGATATTTGTCCCAGCAAACGCCACCCTAACGGTGCGCATAATCCTCGGTCTATTATTACCCGACCTGAAGCTTGTCAGTCTGCCGATAAGGGCCCTTGTCTTTGCGATACGGTCCTCAATTCTTTTTCTCCAGGCTGGGATGGCGCTACTTTTTTGAGTAGCACGTCCAGCCACGGGAAGTTTGGCGCCAATAATACGGCATACTGCCAGTGCGGCGCCAAAACGAATTGAATCCGTCTCGCAAAGGTCCCGGCTGGCTTCCAAATAGGTCACCAGCATTGGGTTAAGAGCCCGCACGACAGCCGGATTTCGCTTGCTAAGGGGTATGCGGGGAAGTCGCGGATGATTTTCGAGAGGCATGCTGCGCGTTTCCAGCATCGACTCTTCCAATATGCTCCTCATTTTCTCTAGTTGGTGGGAGACTATTCCATTATCGTCTGAATTAGCCACAAATGGAATGTTGACGGCAGCATCCACATATGCAGTTTGTTGCGCATCTAGTGGGGCCGCATTCCCAGCCGTAGCATTTCCATTCGATGAAGGAATAGCCTCACGTCGTAGTCGCTCGAGTTCGGCGTCACCAAATATGTTGGAGCGCAGGATGTACCTAACTCGGTCTGCCAGGTTTTGCTCAGTGACGGATAGAGATGGCTCCAGCTCTGCAAAAAAGCGATGCATCCGAGCCCGATACGCCAAACATCCAGTTTCTTCCCCTTTTGCCCTAAAATACGCCCGCAGTGCATTTTCATTCATTGATTTAGACCAACGCATGCGACGTGTTTCACCAGCGGCGGGTGCCGCTTGCTGAGTCCGAGAAGACCCAGCCGACACCAAGCCTTCTGGTGGGGATGATGGATGCGGGGGGCTGCTAGGTGGTCTTGCAACACCCCGCGCTCGGCTGGCGGCCCGCATGCTGTCGCGTCCAGCGCCAGCTCCAGACGCGCCCTGGCGACCTCCAGGCAGCGGCCCTTTGCGCACTATCTTTTTCTCCATCATCCATAATATGGGCGTCCATTAACGGGAGACGCCCAGGCCCGGCACCGTATCGTGGACGGCCATAAGCACAAACGGGCCTTTGCACCCTGAATTCTGCCGAGGCACGGCGCTCACACCTCTCGCAAGGCGCTGACTGACTGCGTTGACGTAGCAGTTTTGTCACTTAACTGTTACGTCAACGGGCGATGTTGTCGTCAATTCCCTACGCCATATTAATTATTATTATTATTATTATTTATTTCATTATTCAGGTAAGTACACCCATTTTGTTAGTACACTTAAAACTTAAAAAAAAAACTTAAAAACTAGGGGTTAGTAGATTCACAAAATACATAAATTATTACTACACAAAAATTATTATTTATTAATAAACATATTGGGTCTGGAACCCATATGCACTGTGTTCCAGTACCTCATCACAGGGCAATCTTGCCTTCCATATATGGAAGCTAGGAGGCCGTTGGTGCTGTCTCGCACGCGACGCATTAAGGAGGCTATTCTTTTGCGTAATATTGCTGCAAAACTGTCCACGCGTGCCTCAGAAAACATACCCGATGCGCTGCAAAAGCGTGGCAGCCCCAACAACATCCTGAATCCATTGTTGTACTGAACACGTAGCGCATTGAGAATTCGGCGAGTACACTTCGTCCACAGGCTGCAGGTGTAGAATGTCTGACAGTAAGCTTTGAATAACGTTATCTTAACTTCATTCGTACACCTAGCAAACCTGCGGGCAAGCATATTACACCTCACTGCCAACGCTCTACGTTCCCGTTCAACATCTAAATTGTCAGAAAGGTCCTCGGCGACCCAGTGTCCCAGTTATCTGAATTTGGTGACTCTACTCAGTGTAACTCCTCCAAGTTTAACATGAGGAACAGACTTAGGTTTTCTATTTCCAGCCGTAAACACGAGTAGTTCGCTCTTATTACAATTATATCTGAGACCATGAGCCGCCGCGTACCTTTCACAGATGCCCACTAGCGTTTCGAGGGCCCTGATCGAAGGACTCAGCAACACCATGTCATCGGTATAGCTTATATTATTAACAAAATGACAGTCAATTGAGCAGCCGACTGCTTTTACGCTGATGTACCTATTTCCTATGGTGAGTGTAGAGATCTGGAGACCCGTTGAATTGGAAACGAGGCGTTCCGTCTTAGTCGTCAGGGATGACGACACATTTTAAATCTTAGTGGAGGATATACAGGTGACATTTATGGACCATAATATCCACTTACCATCAGGTTGTTAATTTTCCCTTTAACCACTCCTGGTAAGCTTTAAATGGTTGTAATGGTTTTAATGGTTTACAAAAGTAGTCGAATGGCGTATTTTCGAACCCAAGACCTTTAGTTTGCGGTCCGCACTCGGCCATTAAACTACTGTCGCTTGATTTTGTAGCTAACTAACTATCGCTCGGCGCCAAAGGAAAACTTTTAAAATTTAAAAAATTGAAATATATTTCCGGCATATGTGAAATTTGTCAATAATAATAAAATACTTGCCCGTCCAACAAAAGGTAATCCAGGCTTGTAGCGGCGTCGCATGCTGTCGGCAAATCTAAGTTCGACATAGTGTTGCTCTGCTGCGGGTGCCGTAGCACTGGAGCCTCCAAGCCCAGCTCCAACTGTTAGATCGACACGAGCTGACGCTCCACCACATTTTGCTTCGATACGCCATACTCCCGAACGAGCACCTGATGCAAGAGCGGCACTAAGCTTCCGTACACCTGTTAACAAATACGTTTATATTTATTTAATTGGCGGATGCAAGTTTTATGAACTCAAAAATTAGAAAACCTTTTTCTAGAGTGGAATAGAATATAATAATTAATTTGTACGAGTTTTAGCGGCTTGTGTTAAAGTTCCTATCTCTCATGTTTTATTATGTCGTTACATTGTAACTAAATATGAAAAATATGCATGGGTTCACTGGTAGAAAACACATACCAGCCAACTAGTAAAAAATATACAAAGGATTTAATGCTTATATAATAAATCCTTTGTATCATTTCTTAAAGAGAATACAGTAAAGATTAAAAATAAATAAAATAAAACCCCTAAGGAAAGTTACTGTAGTCAATATTAAAAGGCGGACATACTATAAGTTTTCATCATCACAGCCCATTACAAAGCCCATGGCTGAACATAGGCCACTCGCAAGGAATACTTCAAAGCTGGTCCTAAGTACTTACATACATACAAAGCGTAACGCCTGTTATCCCGGAGGTAGTAGCCAGAATTCAAAGAGCAGCTAGCTACTCGGAGGGCGTTATATCAAAAACGAAATTGTTTTAATAGTACACTTTTCAGTATTTGTGTATATGTATAACTTTGAATAATATAATACATACGTCCGAAATCGATCTGTAGCTATGTACATATCGACCATAACATAAATACTATGTTTTAGAATTGTTTTTCAAAACAAACAAAGCGTAAATTGTGTAACATCATACTACATACTATCAATTTACTGTACAGTGGCGGTTTAAGAATATCGTCTATGGCGAATTCCCTGTCTCGGGGGTGACACTGAAAGTTCTTAGAAAATGAAAACTGAACACACTAGCAAGTTATTAGTTTTATTATATCTTTTCAAAATAGTGTCCATTTACCGATGGAACCACTGAGAAAATCACTTTACCCACTCGTCCTTAGGGGTCTCTTGACGACATTTTGAAACACAGCCACTGCTTCCTCGGCGTCCCTTTTTTTTTTTTTTGTTTTATGCACTTGACTCATACCGATGCCTAAGGTTGTCTAAATCTGCTGATACGTCACTTTTTTGTCAATCTCTATCATACGCCGCATAACATTGATGTTATCTTCAGTCGTCGCCGTGGAAGGCCGTTCCTCACGCAGATCATCGATTAGTGCTACCACGTTTAAGCTCATGAAACCAGTTGTGACACGAGATAGGGCTTCATCGTGCAAAGCCAATCGAAGTCTATCATAACTTTCTTGTTGGCTTAAATGACATCGAAAGTCATAAAAAATCGTTGTGTGAAAATTTTCTCACATTAAATACATGCTGACGTGACACAGACAATTTTCAATCTGCCGCCAAATCGTAAACAAACAACAAATTAATCAAAATACATGTGTACACAATAATATTGGCAAAGAGTTCTATTTTCAAAAATTGAACTTATTTTTTTATTATATCGTTAACAAGTGGCCAGTTCTAAAAACTTTCAGTGTCGCCCTCGTATGAGGCAATCTATGGGGGAGGCCTATGTTCAGCAGTGTTCTTTTATAGGCTGTAATGGAATATTACCATAAATAAAACAAGAAATGAACAATAATTAGTAAAATAGTTTTGTAAACAACATGATGAAAACCCGCAGACTACTGATTAATACTAATAACATTTGACACGAGATGGAAGCGAACGTACAAACTTCTCTTAACCTAATTACATATAGCATCTGTTACAACACTGCTATTCGCCAACCTAGATAAAACTTAGCGTGTAGTCTGCTTGCCTGTTACATACTATTTATTTCTAATACAAAATAACTAGCAATTCGTCCCGGCGAATGTTGGTGGATCTAAACAACATTAGCACGTTTGTTTTTCAGATAAAAATTAAATTGTGGTGAGCAAAAAAATATCAATATACACAATTGCGAACTTACGGCCCACTACTCATGAAACAAAAAAAAGGGGTGGAACCTGTATAATGGTAAAAAAGGTAGCATTCAAACAAATAATTATTTTTGACGAGGCTTCAGCCAACTTTCATTTTGAATCCTGATCAAAAATACCTTATCATAAAATTATTGTCTGCGTATACCGTTCTTCAACTGCTACAAAGAAAAGGCATTTTGAATGGTTTCTCGACGAACTAGAGCTTGTGCTTTGTAAATATATGCATAAGCACTCGAAGCAAAAAAAAATGATTATGGGAGATATCAATTAATAAGAAATAATGTGACCAACACCTTACAAGATATTCACCAAAATTATAATCTCACTCAGCATATTACGGAACCCACTAGAGACCTATCATGTATTGACCATATATTTAGTAATGTTAAAGATGTCACTGGACTTACTCTCCCTCGCTGTTTATCGAACTATAATGCTGCGCAAATTCTTGATTTTTGTAATAATTCAAAGATAACTCCCCCAAAAACCTATGCACCTATAGGAGGGACTACTCTTCTGAAAAATATACAGAAGTTTAAAAGATATTTTTAAGTTTTCACCTGAGCCTTGCAGGCTGCTATTTATATCTCTGAAAATACAACCCCACCCATGCCAGTACATTTTTGAAATTGCAAAGTTTGTAAAAAAAAAAACAAGTATTATTGCAGACAAGCGAAAAAAGATTTACACACGAAATAACAGAAATGGCCATCGACTTGCTGCTGAAATTATACCCCAGAGTGCTCGATTTAAAAAAAACTGCTGCTGGATATTTAATAAAATAACCCAATATAAAAACCCAAAAATATAAAAGACTTACCCCTATAGATTTGTTAAGTAAACACACTGTGGTTACTTTTATAGCGATATGTTTTTTCATTGCAATCCTGTCTAAAAGGTTTAATCAGATTTTTAAAGCTATATATTTCTGTCGAAACGTCTAAAACGTCTGGTACTACGATCCTGCTAAGTGTGGAGTTAAGGCAAATCTTCAGTGCAACGGAATAGGCGTATATTCAGCGGTAGAAATTTAAGGGTCCATAATGAAGAAGAAGTGTAGAGCGAAACCCCACTAGATGGAGTGACGACCTGTTAAGACATGCAGGAAGTCGATGGATGAAGGTGGCCCAGGACCGTACTTTGTGGCGTTATTTGGGGGAGGCTGAATGATGATGATGATGAATGAAGAAGAAAATATAAAACAATCTCACATTCATGTATTCATTCACTACTCCATATGGTCCCCTGGGTGACGTGAGAAGCGACGGAGGGTAACTAAACAGGAGATGAGCAGAAAAATCTTCCTGATAACAACTCAAAATAATAGAAAACTGTGGTTGCCAACCCAAATGTCAACCGTGGCAACTATGGCAAAATGCCCCCTACAAGGCAATCTAAGAGAGAGGTTTATCATCAGCAATGGACTTTAATAGGCTGTAATGGATGGATGGATAAATATAATAGGATAGCTGAACACACTTAGCAATTTCTTGTCCTCTTTAAAAATAAACACTGTTACAAAATTTAAGAGATAATATTTAAGAGTTCGATAATATAAAATGTTAACTTTGTTATTTAATTTAATTGGTTATTGTGATTTCTCCCCTGTCTTATTTTTGGTATTTATTAGTTTTGAATTTATTTTTAAGTAATGTTTTTAATATTTTATAATGTTGTAAAATTTTTACTCTTCTTATGAAAGATATTGTGGCTAAGTTTTAAATTTAAAAATTGAGCATATATATATATATAAAGACATTTGCTAAAGTTGCCAGGCTTTGCAGGCAGATTAAACCGCAGTTTTTATTGCTTAGAGTTGTTATTTAGTTGTTATTTAGATGCTGCTGCTCATCTTCTGCTTCCGCTGCAGTAAAACTTAAGAAATATGTAAAATAGGGTGGTCTTATCGCTAAAAAGCGATCTCTTCCAGACAACCTTGAGATTACGAGAAAATGGTGCTCTTGGGCAAGGATTAGTACTTGGTAGAGCCACGCTGCAACTATATTATAGTTGTATGAGTCGGCTCGACAGGGAAGGACCATGCTGTTACAGAATACCAGCGTATAATAGCAGCTCAATGCTGCTGTGTTTCGTATGGTGAGTGTAGAGAACCGGAGACCTTTTTACTGGAAACAAGGCATTCCATCTTAGTCCTCACGGATGACAACGCATCTGTATTTTGATTCTTAATCGAGGATAAATGTAGATGTCTATTAGTCACAGCATCCATTTACCATCAAGTGGACTGTGTGCTCGTTGGTCATCCTATTCTACAAAAATAAGGAAATATCCGAATGTCTTTGCAATGTATATTTATTTATTTTTTTAGAAATGTAGATTTCCTCATGACATTTTCCTTCATCGCCGAGCACGTGATAATTCAGCACTTAAATTGCAATTACTAATTTCTTTGGTGTTGGCGCTGATTGAACCCAGGTTGCTCACGTATTGTGAAATATATAGCGAGCGCTTAGCAATTTAGGGTAGAAGTTAATAAATGTCACACATAAAATGTTACGTTTTACGTCTCTAATTTTCATGTTGAGAGAACTTGTGCGTAGAGATATATCTCTGTAGTTACTCCAACAAAAACTTTTTGTCACGGGTTATGACAAGTGACTTTTAAGACGGTCGGGGAAATATAATTAATCAAGCACAACTTGACTTCTGGTGACCACAATTGTAGAATGCTTAACATTCCTTAATAAATCATTTTGGACAAGAATTTTACACAATTGTTAAAGAAATATTCGTAATTGTCCATGTTGAGCATCTGACTAATGTTGCGTTCAGAAAATACAATGAGAATAAAAATAAAAGAAATAAGGGGATAAACAATAGTGAAAATAAATCACCTTTTCAATTTTTTTTATTCAATCCTCGCCGTAATGATGATGTTGTGATGATGGTGGTGACGCAACAATTCATTACCGCATGTTGCCTTAGGTATCACAACAGGCACCTTTGGAAAATTGTTACAAGAAAAACCTTACCCCTGGGAATGATATGATCTCTACCAAGCTATTTCTAGTTTCTTTTGTATTTTAATCATATAACATATTAAATGATTGTAAAT